TTTGTTCTTTAGGCTGTTGTTCTTGTTCTTCTTCTCTTGTAACTACTGTACTACTATTAATAATACTAATGAAAATAATAATAAAATAATGCTACTACTACTACTGCTATTATTACTACTACTATTTTTTACTACTACTACTACTACCACTACTACTACTACCACTATTTTTTTTAAATGGCCTCCAGCCTCCCCCAATAGCCATACCTTCGCCACCATTTTATTACCTTAATATTAAATATCCTAATACATAAGTAGCTATCCTAGCAGTGTTGAGTTAGTTGAGCCGTAGATCTATGTGGCATTCAGTGACTGTAGCCTCATAGTCAATATCTGCAACTGTTGTCGGCTTTGGGGCCGATGCTCTCGTTCCCCTGAGGCAGAGCAAAGCTGACCTAAGGAGAGAGAAAGACAGTCGACATCTCATCCAGACTGTAACATAACTTCTGGGCTGCTGCTTCTGTTCGGAGATCACCTCCGCGAGTCTGGCGTAGAAACATCTTGCACTTGGTCCCATCCCACCAGAGGTTGTGAACACTAGAGGAGTGAAGCTGCCTTGATCAACGTTCTGAATTCTCTCCCTGATGCCCTTATCTTGTCGTTCTCGTTCCTCCTGTGTGCAGCACCGGGAGCTAAGTTACGGTGACATGCGGCCATGGGATAAAAAATCCTACTACTACTACTACTACTAATAATAATAATAATAATAATAATGATAATAATAATAATAATAATAATAATAATAATGATAATAATAATAACATTGTAGAGGTGATCATGGTTGAGAAAGCATTGTCAAGAGTTCGTGAGTTAGAACCCATGGTAGAGAGTTCATGATTGATAGCCCATGACTGAGAGGCCATGACTGAGAGCCCATGGTTGAGAGTTCATGATTGATAGCCCATGACTGAGAGCCCACGGTTCAGAGCGCATATATGGGAAGAGGACTCAACTCTTTCTTGTGTCGGTACAGGAATGCAGCCCATGTCTTGCCTTTGTGGTATGTCCTACCTCGTCGACCCATGTCCTACTTTGTGGTATGTCCTACCCCCACGACCCATGTCCGGCCCCTGTGGCATGTCCTACCCCCACGACCCATGTCCGGCCCCTGTGGCATGTCCTACCCCGATGACCCATGTCCTGCCCATGTGGTATGTTCTATCCGAAGTCCAAATTTCACTAATCTGTAATCCAAGTCTAAGAAAAGATTAGAGGGGTTAGGACGTCAGGGAGGATAGGACATCAGGGAGGTTAGGACGTCAGGGAGGATGGGACAATCAGGGAGGTTAGGACATCACGGAGGATAGAACATCAGGGGAGTTAGGACGTCAGGGAGGATAGGACATCAGGGAGGTTAGGACGTCAGGGAGACTAGGACATCATGGAGGTTAGGACGTCAGGGAGGATAGGACATCAGGGAGGTATGGACATCACGGAGGATAGGACATCAGGGGAGTTAGGACGTCAGGGAGGATAGGACATCAGGGAGGTTAGGACGTCAGGGAGACTAGGACATCATGGAGGTTAGGACGTCAGGGAGGATAGGACATCAGGGAGGTATGGACATCAGGGAGGTTAGGACATCAGGGAGGTTAGGACATCAGGGAGGTTAGGACGTCGGGTAGGATAGGACATGAGGGAGGGCATATGTGTCTTCAGCTGGCAATTACCATTTTTTATACCCGAGTTAATGAGGTGAACCAACTCAACAATACAACGTGTACAATTTAGGTAGCCATTGACATTCAGGGGGAGACTTGCTTGTTGATTCTGTCACCGCTGGAAGGGTCGAGAGACAAACAGACGGACACCCTCACCAATTAACAGTCGTCTACGTTGTCAGCACACTTGTTGCCACCGACGACCACCGGCGACGACCAGGAGGCGACCACCGGCGACCAGGAGGCGATCACCGACGACCAGGAGGCGATCACCGGCGACCAGGAGGCGATCACCGACGACCAGGAGGCGATCACCGGCGACTAGGAGGCGACCACCGGCGACCAGGAGGCGATCACCGGCGACCAGGAGGCCATCACCGACGACCAGGAGGCAATCAACGGCGACCAGGAGGCGATCACCGGCGACCAGGATGCTATCACCGACGATGAGGAGGCGATCACCGGCGACTAGAGGCGATCACCGGCGACCAGGAGGCGATCACCGGCGACCTGGAGGCAATCACCGACGACCGTGAGGCGATCACCGGCGACCAGGGGCGATCACCGGCGACCAGGAGGCGACCACCGGCGCAGGGAGGCGATCACCGGCGACCAGGAGGCGATCACCGGTGACTAGGAGGCGACCACCGGCGACCAGGAGGCGCGATCACCGGCGACCAGGAGGCCATCACCGACGACCAGAGACAATCAACGGCGACCAGGAGGCCATCACCGCGACCAGGAGGCTATCACCGACGACCAGAGGCAATCAACGGCGACCAGGAGGCGATCATCATGACCAGGATGCTATCACCGACGATGAGGAGGCGATCACCGGCGACCAGGCGATCACCGGCGACCAGGAGGCAATCAACGGCGACCAGGAGGCAATCAACGGCGACCAGGAGGCAATCACCGGCGACCAGGAGGCGATCACCGACAGACACCGCTGCCACCGTCCTCTGTCTTCTTCATCTACCCTACTGTCTACTGTTACTGCTGTTGTTACTGTTACTGCTGTTGTTACTGTTACTGCTGCTGCTGCTACTGCTGTTGTTACTGTTACTGCTGTAGGTTAGATTAAATTAAGTCAGATAAGGGAAGAGATACAAAGCATTAAAAATAACCCAAGTTGAAAATACTCATAAATTACCTACACTTAATCCCACCGCATATCTATAACCCACAACCTAACCTAACCTAAACTAACCTAAACTAACCTAACCTAAGCTAACCTAAACCATACTTTATAATCCCTAAATCTCTGTTTGTGGCGAGAAAATATGTCTAATTTACCTGTCCCAAATATGACATTACCTATATAACCCTTTACCACATGTTAATTATTATACCTGCGTGTTAAACCTGGAGTATATATTGATGAGTCTTGTGTATGTTAAACCCAGAGTATATTGATGTGTCTTGTTATGTTAAACCCAGAGTATATTGAAGTGTCGTGTGTATGTTAAACCCAGAGTATATTGAAGTGTCTTGTGTATGTTAAACCCAGAGTATATTGATGTGTCTTGTTATGTTAAACCCAGAGTATATTGAAATGTCTTGTGTATGTTAAACCCAGAGTATATTGAAGTGTCTTGTGTATGTTAAACCCAGAGTATATTGATGTGTCTTGTGTATGTAAACCCAGAGTATATTGAAGTGTTTTGTGTATGTTAAACCCAGAGTATATTGATGTGCCGTGTGTATGTGTCGTGGACCACAGGTAAGACTCGGTGTTAATTAGGCGACAGTATAGCGATAATTAGTCTACCTTACCTGTGCTTTATTACCCAAATCTGCGACTGGCTGGTTGATGGTTATGCAGGTGCGGAGAGAATACCTTGATTTTCTTTTCTTTCTTTCCTTTCTTTCTTTTCTTTCTTTTCTTTTTATTCTCCTTCTACACTTAATTTTCTTTTTATTTATTTTTCTTAATTCTCTACCCTTCCTTCCTTCCGTCCTTCCTTCCTTCCTTCCTTCCTTTGTCCTTCTTCCTTCCTTCCTCTTCCTTCCTTTTCCCATACCTTCCCATCAATATCTTTCCCCTACTCCCTTCTCTCCCTTCCCTTCTCATTCCCCCTCCTTTCTCTTTCCTCCTCTCCCTCACCTTCCTCCTCCCCTCTCCCCCCATCAGCATCTATGGTGGTTGGCTCATGAATGTTGATGACGACCGCGATAAGGTAGCCGCCCCTCACCCCGGTAACCTGACCCTGCACTGTATACAATTCATTTACAGTTCCGACAATGTTCACCTGTTTGTACCGCAGGAATTTTCCCACCGGTAATTAAAAAACAAATGAGATTTTTTATTTTTTATTTATTTTTACGTTAGATTTTTTTTTTGTATATATATTTTTTTAGAATTTTTAAGAATTTTTTTCGGATGTATTTTTTTTATTTAGTATATTGGTTTTTTTTGTGTGGCGTATATAAATTTTTGTTTAGTCTATTTTGATTTTTTCTTTAGTCTAGTATTTGAGTGTGTGGGAATTTTCTGGTAGGAATTAAAACCAATGTGAGTTTTTTTTTTTGTTTGTCTGATTTTTTTTTTGGGAGGGGGGGATTTTTTTCCTTATGAATGTGTATATATCTATGTATATGTATGTCTGTGGAGATGTATAATATGTATATGTAGTTATCCACCTAAAAAAATCATAGTCACCCACATTAACACAATCATGCAGTCATCCACCTGAAAACATTTACATAGTCATTCAACTGAACAATCATAGTCATCTACCTAAACAATCATAGTCATCTACCTAAACAATCATAGTCATCCACCTAAACAATCATAGTCACCCACATAAACACAGTCATACAGTCATCCACATAAACACAACCTTACACCCACCCACTTAACCACAATCATACAGTCATCCACCTACAGTCATCCACTTAAACACCTTAATTAACTAGTAGGTTGAGAACATCGACAGATTACCTTTTGTACACACACTAATTAGACCTGATTTAGACCTTAGACCTCAGGTAACCAAGGGAGAGGAGTGATCCAGGGCCAGAGTACAATTTTCAGGGGGCAGGAATTCCAGTCATTACCTGTTGGGAAGGGGGGAGGAGGGGATGGGAAGGGGGAAAGGAGGGGATGAGGAGGGGGAGGTGGGGAGGAAGGAAGGGGTTGGGGTGGAGAGAGAGAGAGAGAGACGCAACATACCTGACCACAAACCTTAGAGTAAAAAATAAAAATAAAATCAAGAGAGAGATGCGGCTCCTCCTTGTGACTCCGGCCCGGGTGACGTCAAGAGCCGCCCACCGACGAAAATTGGCCCGAAATTGACGTGTTCGCAGCGGGGAACAGACGGAAAAACCAACACACTGTCAGGAAGAGCGGTGGAGGGGCGGCGGGACGAGGCCAGCACCTGGGAGGCCAGCACCTGGGAGGACAGCACCAGGGAGGCCAACAGCTGGGAGGCCAGCACCTAAGAGATCAACACCAGGGAGGCCAGTACCTAGGAGACCAACACCAGGGAGGCCAGCACCTGGGAGGTGAGTACCGGGGAGACCAACACCAGAGAGGTCAGCACCTGGTAGACCAACACCAGGGAGGCCAGCACCTGGGAGGCCAATACCAGAGAGGCCAGCACCTGAGAGGCCAATACGAGGGAGACCAACACCAGAGAGGTCAGCACCTGGGAGACCAACGCCAGGGAGGCCAGCACCTGGGAGGCCAACACCAGAGAGGCCAGCACCTGAGAGGCCAATACCAGGGAGACCAACACCAGAGAGGCCAGTACGTAGGAGACCAACACCAGGGAGGCCAGCATCTGGGAGGCCAACACCAGAGAGGCCAGCACCTGAGAGGCCAATACCAGGAGACCAACACCAGAGAGGCCAGTACGTAGGAGACCAACACCAGGAGGCCAGCACCTGGGAGGCCACCAT